CATGGCAGTTTATGAAAGCCCAGTTACATAGACTAATAGATTATATTCTCCAGCTTTAACTAAGCTAACCATCACAAAATGCCCAGTTGTCTTAAAAAGACTCCTAAGAAACCATGATTCACAGTTAACACTAATAATGAAAATAAAAGCAAAAGACAAGAAATTAGCAGAGCCAACACTTACCTACTTCTATTATGAATTCTTGTCAGCCACATAATAGATAAAAAAAAGTGATGATATAATCAGATTTGACAAGAATAAGCCCCCAAATTTCAAGAAGACAATTTGAAATATGGATTAACATTCACTAATGATAATATGAGGTCTTTATGTATAATTAGCAAGACATTTTAAAATCTTATTTGTTTCACCCTCTAAAATTTTATATTTATACATATGTTCATGGTATAAGAATGTTAACATATAATGCCTCAATAAAATAATATTTACACATAGATATTATAGCTGCATGTTTTAAAATGTTATACTAATAGAGGTAAGTATTTTACAAAGTTTGGGGACAATAAGGCTAAACTATGGCCTGTAGTGTGTTAGAAACAAAGTCATGTTCCTACAGAGATTGTGGCATTGACTTATATAGAGTAAGTCAGAATGATAGCATGTGTTAAATATCTATGAATTTGGATTTGCCTTCCCCAACCATCAGGATTTGTCTATGTGTTGTCATTCAGCAGGTGGATGTGTTAGATAACCTTTGGAGTGTCTGCTTAGTTCAAAGCAACAATCGTTCACTGATAATTCTCTATGCTTTCCTAACACACAGAATAGAAGCTGTAAGCCACATTGTTACTCTGTGACCCTACTCCCTTAGACAAACTTGATTGAACTAGGAGTAAACTTCTATAAAAACTGAGCTAATCAGTTGCTTTCTCCTCAGGTTTTGTAACTGAAACTAAGCCAGATGGCCATTTTCTTGAATGGTGGTTATTTGAACTCTGGAGCTGAGGTTGCCATTGTTGCACAGCCATGTGTATGGAAAAGGAGAGAAAGTCCTTCTATACAGAGAAGAGGCAGATGTATAGAGCACCTTAGAACATTATTTATCTCCTTTCCAATCTCTTTGCTACTCTTCTTAAATATTTTGATTTTATAGTGCTTATATTGTTGGAGTGATGTGATTGCGGAAAGGGAGCCATAGCCAAAGCATGTGGGCAGCCTCTACAAGATGGATAAGGCAAGAAAATGGATTCTCCTCAAGAGCTTCCTGGAATACAGCCCTGCTAACATCTTGATGTTAGCCCAGTGACATCCATTTTAGACGTCTCATCTCTAAAACTGTAAGACAAGAAATTTGTGTTGCTTCAAGTCATTAAATTTATGGTAATTTGTTACAGCAGTAACAGGAAACTAATGCAGGTGGGCTAAAGGGAAATGCCTCTGCAGTATTTAGCATACTACTGTGGAATTTCTCCTAAGGCACCTTGGACTTTCAAGTCTATGTAGATATTGAACAATATAATTTCAGAACTGACAGGGACCTTCACAGAGGATTTGAGGCAAAGGACTTGAGGTAAAAGACTTGTCCAAGGTTACCTGGCTAGTCAGTTTTAAAGCCAAAACAAGAATCCAAATCTCCCATCTTTTTTCTATGTATGTTAATGAGTGTAAGATGTCAAAAGAGACTGTTATGTAGAAGGTACTCAATAAGCAGTAAAGTTTGTCATTGTTGTCATTATTATTACGCATTTACCTTTGTAATCTACTACAATATCTCATTTTGGGGCCGAGTAAGGAGATATCCTGAAACAACATTTTAAAATCATCAAAAAGTTGGGGGAGTGGAAGGTACAAACTATTGGGTGTAATTTAGTCTTAAGGATATATTGTACAACATGAGGAATATAGCCAACATTTTGTAATAACTGTCAATGGAAAGTAAACTTTAAAAATTGTATTAAAATTTTAAAAAACTACTTTAAAAAATTAAAAAAATAAAATAATAAAAAAACTAACCAAGGAATGAGGAATTACCTGGCTGAGAAGCAAAAAGGGACAGAGTCTACGCATTCAGAGTGCTTTTGTCCTGGGGTAGGGGGAGGTGTGCATTTTCAGATTCAAAAGAGATGGCTGAGAGGTTCAACTGCACTTTTGACATTTAAGGGAACGAAGTATGGGGTCTAGGACTTGTCGAAAGTGGTGATTCTGGTAAACCATGTTTTGGGATGGTTCTCAGGACAGAACTCTGAGAGGTAAGGACAAACCAAACTAAAGCAGTCTTTCCAAGGTTCCCAATCATCTGGGTTAGGGTGATCCTGTTTGTTGGTATCTCAAGGTGCCTGACAGAAGAAAATAAAATCCCTTATGGAAAAAAAATCATCATAGGTCTCACTTTATTTCTTCAAGTGTTTCAATTATGATGTCCAGCTTACAAAGACAATCAAGTAACAAGACAACATGAATGAGAACCAGCTTAAACAATGCATAATAAATAACCTAGAACAAAGAACCAATGACAGATGCAATGAGACTCCAGATATTGGAATTATCAGAGACCAAGATTGTATACCAATGATGCCACTATGTTCAAAGAGATAAAAGCTAAGATCAACAGTTCCGGCAAAAGAAAAAAAAATTGATGTTATAAAAATGAATGTAATAGATATTTAAAAGAATCAAATAGAAATTCTAGAACCTAAAATTTAAAAAAATTAACAGTTCAATATATGAGTTTAACACTATAGGAGAGAGATTAGTAATCCAGGAAACAGAAAAAAAGCTACTCAAGTGAAGCATGGGGAAATAAAAGCATGGAAAATAAAAGAGAGAAGAAGAGAAATAGTGAATAGAGAAGATCTAACATACTTATAATTGGGGTTATAGGAGAGAAGAAAGAATGGGGCAGAAGTAATATTTGAAGAGGTAATGTCTGAGAATTTTCCAGAATTCATGAAAGGTATCAATTGATATATTCAAGAGTCCCAATAAATTCCAAGCATCATGAATAAAAAGAAATACCCTTCCAAACGTACATAGAACAAGAGTAGAAAATCAAAATCCAAGAGAAAAAAAAAATCTTAAAAGCAGCCAGAGGGGAAGAAACACCAGTGACCTTCAAAAAACAGTCACACTAACAGCTAAGTTTTCACAGGTAACAACAGAAGTCAGAATCCTGGAATGATTTTTAAGTGTACTGAAAGAACATAAACTGCTCTTATCCTCACACTTCCTCTGACTCTTGCTCTTTCACTTATAAGGACTTGTGTGATTCCTTTGGACTCACCAAGAAATCCAGAATAATCTCTCTATCTCAAGATCCTTAACTTAATCATATCTACAAAGTCTGTTTTAGAACGTAAGGTAACATAGTCACAGATTCTAGGTTTTGGGATGTGGACATCTACGATGGGCCATTATTGTGCCTACCATATCACCAATCTAAGAAATGCTCTCACCCTTTATCATGAGTGACTTTTTTCTTCTATAAAGCCCCATGGGAAAAAGGAAATCAGTGTTTCCAAGAAGCAGAAGCAGATAGGCATTTTTTCATATTATCTCATTTAAAACACTATCAACCTTCAGCCTTGGTGAGGTAAATATTATTGCCCCAACTTTAAAGATTCTGAGATTGAACATCACAGAGGTTAGGTAACTTGACTGAGGTCATCTAGCTGGTAGAGTATTTGACTAGAAATTTGTATCCAGATCACCAGTTTGGTCTCTATGACTCCAATCAAGCTTCTCTTAGTATATTAAGTACAATATTGCTTGGCTTATGAATAATTTCTGGGTAGTATATATCTTATGAAAGACACTCTGACTTGGTGGGTTTTTAAATGGGTGAAAAAGATATAAAGAAGGGGAGAAGGTTTCAAACTGGAGAGACATCTTTGATCAAAGTACAGCAGTCCCCACTTATCTGGGGGAGGCTATGTTTCAAAACCCCTAACAGATGCCAGAAACTACAGATAGTACAGAACCCTATATATACTATGTTTTTTTTCCTGTACTATCAGGTAGGATATAAAAGGTGCTAGACAAACAGATGATTCATGTCCAGGGCTGGTCAGAGTGGGATTGCTAGAGATCTCATGGCTACTCAGAATGGTAGCAACTTAAAACTTATGAACTATTTCTGAAATTTTCCATTGAACATTTTTGGACTGCAGTTGATCCCCTTTAACTGAAACCCTCTTTAAGGGTAGAGTAATATATTGGTGGCAAAAGCTTTCTTTATTAACTATGTGACCCCAGTTAAATCATTTAGAGTCTGTTAGGCCTCAATTCCCTCCTTCATCTGTAAAACGAGCAGTTTGGATCTAATTACACCTTTTCCAGTTCCCTTCCCTCTCTAACATTCCATGATTCTAAGAGAGAAGCTCCTTGCCTCAGGATACCTCCACCTTACTGTGTTGGTTCTGGAGGACTGCATTCAAGTTAGAGGCATTTAAACTATTCCAGAGAGAACTAACTGCAAATCAAAGGAAGGAAAAATGAAGAGCGATGAATGGTACGATAAACGACAGACGAGAAAGAGATGAAAGAAGATGCCGGAGATACAGATGGAAAGATAAATAACATGCATATAACATGCATACAAATAGATCAAGGTAACCATCAACGGGTATCTAGCGTTTACAAGGCAAAGGAAATTCTGCTGGTCTCTGAGGATGCAGGGGTAAGACTTTCTTCTCGCTCTCAAGGCACTCACAGAAAGCTGGGGTAACACTTTGTATTTAATCGTGGACCTCAAACTCCCACTTTTCTAAAATCTCTGGCTGTGAGAAATGCAAGAAAAACTGAGAAATGAAAATATTACAAAACGTTTGACTGTAGCTGAGATAACGTGAAAACAGTGTCGGGAAACAACTGAGACCACCCCTGCCCCGCCCCCCAAGCCTAACCCAGACACACAAAAGAATCCGCTGGTGCCCTCGGAGGCGCAGTTTTTCTTCTCCGCGGCGAGCTGGCGGCCGCGGAGGAGACCGGCTCCCCCGTCCGCCCCCGCCTCGGCCCTCGGGCCTCGGAAGTGACGCAGCGTGCCCCGCCCCACCGCTAGATCCGCTGCTGCTGCCGCGGCGGACGGACCTGCAGGAGGCGGCGGCGGCGGCGGTGGCGGCGGCCGAGGCCGAGGGAAGATGGCGGACGGTGTGGACCACATAGACATTTACGCGGATGTGGGCGAAGAGTTCAACCAGGTACGTGGGGGCCCAGGCCCACGCCGCCGAAGTGGGCGGCGCTGCGGCCGGGACGCGGACCTGGGGTCCGCCGCGGGCTGCGAGCCGGCGCCGCTGCAGACCGTGCGCCCTTGGCGCCTGTGGGCCGCGCCGCCCGATCGCGGCGGGGCGCCCCCTCGCCCCTCGTTCTACCGCGTCGTTTCGTGGGCCGCGGGCGCTGCGACCCGCTGCGGGGCCCCGAGCGCGGCCGCGGGCCGCCGTGCAGCCGCCGCGGGCCCCTCCCTCGCCGCCGCCTCGCTCCCCATTGTTGGCGGCGGCCGGCGGGCGCTTCCCGCCGCGCTAGGCCGGGGCGGTGGGGCGGCGTGGAGAACAGGCCGCCACTGCGCCCCCTCCCCCGCCGCCGTGTCGGGGAGGAAGCCCAGCGGGGCGCGCGCTTGCCGCCTCGCCCCCGGCCCTGCCGCTCGGTCTCCGATTCCTCCCATCGCTCCATTTTGTCTCCCTGTCGGCGCACGGTCGCCGCATGGAAGGCCGCGTTCACGGCCCTTTGTATCCCGCGCGCCCAGCTTCCTGGGCCCTCCTGCTCCCGTTTGCGACAGGTTTCGGCGTGGCGCCTTCCTCCTCCTCCCCTCACACTTTCCAAAGGCGGCTTAGGTGCAGGCACTTTGCAACAAGTCCTCTGACTTTTGGACCTAAGGATCGAGTTTAAAAGTCGGTTGGCCCAGCGTCGGTGGTCGAGGGCTTGCATTGCCTTTGAGGCCGAGTCGTTCTCGGCCTTTGTGATGGAAATACCTATGAAGATAGGTGGCCTGGGCCAAAAGGACTACTTGGAAGCGCGATAGTGGATGGAACGAAAAAAGATGGTAGCTCACTTAAGGATCAGAGGAGTGATTAAAGAACGTTCACTCGAAATTCTTACCGTATAGTTTTAAAATAAAGGGTTGTAGCTATGACCCGATTTCCAAAAGCAAAACGTTTACTGTCCTCCGAGGGATTTTGAGAGGCTGGAGAAAGTGAGAATGTAAGGTTTTTCCGGTATCTCATAGGCCACAGTTGCCCAGAAGAACTTATCCGCGGAGCTGTGATCTCTGATGTTGGGCATCCTTGGAGAAGGTTGTTACTAGAGTAGTGACGTTTAAGCTGTAAGCCTACTGCTCACATCTTTACTGCCTTCTTTGTAGTAACACGTTTAAAAAAGTCAAATTGTCCCTAACTGCAGTACACTTAAAAGCTTTATTTTTTGTATTTTCCAGGTCCGTATGAGAAGCTTAGTAAAATTCTGCTAGCTAATTAATGTGTTTTTGTGGGGCTTTTTCCTCCGTTGAGAATCTTATTTGTGACTAGGGGCTCAAGTTTTTTTAAAATAGGGAAAGCTAGAAACCTTTTTTAAAAAGAAATATTTGTGCTCCTCGTTTAATGTTAGGAAAAAATTTCAATTAGCTTTAAATGTTTCTTATTCCGTTCAAGACTCAACATGCCTAAATGTAACCCATTGTAGTCAAATGTTAAGTTTTAAAATCTTTGTTCTTTTTATTGTGTTTACATTTTGGATATGTGATACCTGAGTTGTGTCAATGATAATTTAGAAAATTACCTTGAATGCTACACAGGTTCTAATGCTTTTTTAAGATCTGTAGACAAAGACCTCTAGGAAAATTTTTTTTCTTTTTATCTATCAAATGAGTATAACATTCCATCGAAAATGTCCATATCTATAAGTAAAGGAACAATTAAATGTTCAAGACAGTCTTAGATTTCTTACCAGAAAATATATTTACTTGTTTTTCTTCCCACAATAAAGGAATAATTGGGCTACAATTTTAGAAATTGGAACTTTCTTCAGAACCTTTTAATGAAATATTTTTTAGACTTTCACGTAACTTTATTTGGGGTGGGCATTTCTCTAATCTGTATAGCTGGATGGAGTGATACTTGCTTATCCCTGTGCAGTAACTAGTGCTGACTGAGGAGGAGGTAAGAAGAGTTTAAAATTTTGTGGCCTTCATGAGGAACTGCTTTGTAGGGATCTTTTTTAAAAAATGTGCCTTTTTATTGACTTGTACCTGTAGCATTATATCTTACACATAGTTGTATAATTTTTACAGTAAAATCTTTTTACTTTTTAATAGATTAATGGGATTAAATAGAGGCTTTGTTTTTGTTATTATTTTTTCATATGACTGGCTTTCGTAATATACTGCTTGTTGTGGTAATTCCTATACAAAATATGGCCACAAAAGGATAGTTGGTGGTTTTTAAGGTTCATCCTTCATTTTTTAAAATGTTACTATCATCAAATATTTTTCTGAAATTTTATCAGAATTAGAGGCAACTACAAAATTATTGCTGATTGATTTAATGTGGACTCTTATTAGCTGGTGACTTTATTTTTACTGGTTCTTACAGTAAACTGTAAACTCTTACTTGTGGTGGTTGAGTAAAATGTTTTGCTAAAATATAATTGGTCTTATTTTGGCTTCTAAACTGTAGACATTTAAAAAATTTGTTCTTCATTGTGAGTTGCAGTTTAAATTGCACTGTGTACTTTGATATTCTTTGTGGTCTATGTGTTTTCTATTTTAAATGGTCATACTTTTATGCTTTTTTTAAAAAATGTGTTTGGTAAAGCACAGTATAAACCTATTTCAAAAACCGTGAGACATTCAGCTGTCTTAGAATAAACTTTAATTTGGGAATGATGTGAGAATAAGTTAGTCAAACTATAGTATCGTTCCCTTTCTTCACTAGATGAATTTTAAGAATGGAGGATGAAAGTGGAGAAGGGGAGAAGGCACAAGGGAGTTCGCTATTCTTTATAGGTGCTTCTTAGTTCTTAAACTGAAGGTCTTTGGATGTAACCAAATTGAGAACAGTTGCTCCAGTGGAAGAATTTGAACTGCTTCCAAACCTGTACATTACTTGGATTTAGAATTGAGAAGAAAGTGGTTCGTTTCAGCCTTTGTAGTGTGTATCAGTTCAGTTCGAAATGGTATTTGTACTTGAATATAGTAGTTGGTAGCTTAATATTTAATAATTATAGGCTTGTATTTTGACCAAAACTAAAATAAAAAATTTTAAACTCAATTGTCCAATATACATTTCTTGAGTATCTGTTACATGCCAACAAGGAGGGATACAAAGTTTTCATAGTCTCTACCATACAGTGCACTGTAGCGGGGTTGAGAGACACCTACCTAATTATAACACTGACAAGTAATGTATTATAGAAATCACTCCTTTATGCGTATCTCTGTCTTAGAATTTTTGTTGACAGTGAAGAGGAAAGTCAAATTTTCTGAACTTTAGGAAAGTTTATACCATGTGCGTTGAAGTAGTGTGTATTTTGCTTGTTTGGGGAGTAACAGCTCTTAATGGAGAATTTAGTTATTGATGTATCTGGTGGCAGGTCACTGATAGTAGTGCTCATTTAGTAATCTGACTAAAATGAAAATGTAGTGGAAAAATTCATTTGGAAGTTATGGGTTTAGACATCTTCATAAGTCAACTTGCCTTTATTTCATAAGTCATTATACTTTACATTTAGTTTCTAAGTATTTACTCTAGCCAATGTTTAGCTAATTTTGGAAGATAAGTTTATTAGACAAATATCAGTAAAATCTTATTTCTAAGAATTTTATATTTAATAGAAAATCCTCTAAGATAAGTCTTGTAAGATGGAGACTGAGGTAGGTAGAGATTAATTTAGAAACTTGGGTTGAAATATTTAAGAGGCACTAAAACACTTCTTACTCAGTTTTATTATTTGAGTAGCTCATTGAGCTGCCTATAAATTGTCCACTTTGTGGTTTATGTGGCATATTTTTAGTACCAACTTGTCTTCCTTACCATCAGTTGAGCTTTTTATAGAGATCACAGACTAATTTTAATTATCTACTTGGAACATAAACAAAATCAGAAAGTGAAATATTTTCTAAAAAAATAAATATGTAATAGATTATCTGCTATTGGATTTTGCATGCTAGTATATTTCTCTTCCATGGTATAGAATACATTTTAGGACCACCAAAGGCAGGGCTAGGCCTGTCAGGGAGAATGAAGTGTATAATACAACTGTACCACAGCCATATCAATAAGGGTGTACAGTACATCTGTAATACTAAAATTAATGGGAGGTGATAGGGAAAATATGTCTAAAGATAACTGTTTGGAAGCAGGGAGTGGTAATAATGAAAAAAAGTTGAGAAATATTACTTTAAAAAGAAGCTAATTGAATTTTGGTTATTCTTTGACTTGGCAACAGCTACTTATATATCATGAGGAACATAATCTTGAAGTGTAAAATATTGAGAGGATACTTTGCCTTTAAAATGATTATAGTGATTAGAATGTAGGAAATGAAAAAAGAAAAGTGAATTTTTTTTTTTTTTTTTTTTTTTTTTACAAACCCTAAGAGTTGTTGCCTGCTGGAAGTTATTTAATGTGCAGCCCTGTCGGTGAGTAGCTGCTGTGAAAAGTAGATAGTTACAGTTAGGCAGTATTTGGTATAAATACTATAAATAATTTGAGGGCTAATGTTGACATGTTCTTGTTTTTGAATGCCATTAAAATTTCCTAAAGGTAATCACTGAAAAGACTCTACATAGTAGAACTTGACATTGTTGCCCATTTCTCTTTGACAGTTTGTTCAATAGACTTTCAGAGCTCAGTTTTTTTATATATGACCTATGATATACCTTTTACATAATTTCAGAAGATGCGTGTTTTCCCCCTTTTTAGAGTGGGAACAGAAAGTAGGATATGTTCTCTCTCTATATATATATTTTTATTAAATCTGGAGGATAGGTGTGATATGCTAAAGCTGAAGAGGAAGATTACTAATACTACAGAAGAGTGTGTGTTTTGAGTTGCATTTTAGTAATGGTGGTATATGTATTCAGATTCATTAATATTTTTTCACCAAGTCCAAATGCATACCACTGGGGCTAGAAGTACAGGCTGTGGCCTTGGAACAGAGTGAAGCTAACTAGTCCACATGGAGATCAAACCCCAGGACCATGGTCTCAATTAGCATCATACTTCAACCAGTTGGAAGCAGTCCAGCTACCAGACAAAATGACTGATGCTAAATATTGGTAGAATCATATCAATATGGAAAATTGGTTGGTGTCAACATAGGAATTCATGGACGGACAAAAATAGTAAGTGATTGTGATTCACCAGGTTAGTGTAGCTGCAATTATGCTTGTGAATTGTCTACTTACGTAAACATTCTCTTAGATTTACAACTAATGAAAAAATCAAATGATGTGTTAACGTATTTCATGAAAGTGTAAATCTAAATACTTTTTATTTTAGTGCTGCTGTTAATAACCCTTGCATTCTATTTTACTCTCCCTCAGACCATATATTGTGATTATAGTCTCTGCTGAGGAGGATGGAAACACAACTCCTTTTGAATAATAGTAATAATAATTCTACTTGATGTACAGAACTGGATTGCAAGAGTTTAAAGTGCCCACTACCCACTGTGGGAAGCTTTTTAGTGTCTTAGGTGTGTGGAGTGTGGAATCACTGCTGCAGCCATGCCACCTGAAGCTTTCAGCTACACTGAAACTTCATAACAAAACTCACCCTCCTTTTTTCTAATTTTTACTGTCACCGCAATTTGATCATGTTACTTTGTTTAACAAAAACTCAATTTTCAACGGTTATTTTGGTATTGCTGTACAAACAAAATTAAATTACAGTATTATTCAGTGATTTGTGTTCTTAGTTTCTGTCCATTGCTAAAGATGGCTTTGTTTTTGATTTATCTTGAGATCTTGCTATAGATGTTCAACCTCCTAACAGTATTGTTATGTAGAGATGCTGTTAAATAATTAGTAAATTAGATAATTACCTGAAGATGACTTTACAGATTTCAGGTCCCTTTGGCTATGTGTATAAGTGGTATTTCCTCTTCTAGATTTTCTTCTTTTTCTCTTTCTTTTTAACAGTATCTTATTCTGGCTCTCTTCTAAGTAACGAAACAATAGCCATGTTCCTTTGGGACCTATAATAACAATATTTTGTTGATCTGTTCACAGTCATATTAGAAATAACTTCTGTGTCATTTTTTAAATCCATATAGTAGTTAGTCCTTAAAACTGTTAGTTTCTCCTGTGCCATTTGTATTCATCCTTAATAAAATGGGTTAATGGGAAAGGATAGGAGTTATGTCTGAACTCTTTTAAATTTGCTTTTTTGTAAATGTAATTGCCTCTTTTCCCTTACTTTCTCAAATATTTTACCTCAAGAATAAAACAGTTCACATCAAGATTTAGGTACTTAGTGGTGGAAAGGGAGGAAGATAAAAGTAGAGCTTTTCCTCTGATCCTAGCTAGTCATGTCTGTGGCCCAGTAACGGTTACCAAAGGCAACTTAAATGGTGTCCAGTGTTCTGCCAGTACCTTTCTTGTGCTTTTTTTTTTACAAATTGAATCCTCCTTTTTCATTTTTTTCCTGTTCACATTTTTTTTTTCCATTTTCCTCTTACTTACATATCATTTAGGCATGCATGTAAGTGGCATCCGCTAGCATTGCTTTAATTCTGCTGGTGACACTTAATGGCAAAGCTTTACTAGGTCCTTATTCATATCCTTTTTCTCTTGACCATGTAGATATCTCTTGCTAATTGACTAAGAAGTCAGGTAAGCATTAACTGCTTTTTGACTGAGAATAATGAAACTATTAATAGATACTAATTTGGATAGTTTAACCTATATTTTGTTTATTGCTTCTCTTCATTTGTTGTGACATTCAGAATCATTTAAATATCCACATTTGTTTATCCCTTTCCTATGGCTTAGCTCACTGCTTTTTCTTAAACTAATAGCTTTCACAGGGTTGGGAAACAAGATCCTGAATTCCATGGAAAATAATAGTTATATTTTTTTTGGGCAGATAAATATTAAAGATTTGTAATGGCTCTGATTTTTGTTTGTGATATTTTTGTGTCAAAAAAATTTTTAAGCCCATCTGTTTGTATTCATGTATTACTTGTAGAGTATTTTACTTCCATGGAAAGTTTTGTATTATTTATTTTGTCTATATGTCATTCTTTTCCCAGAGGAGTGTTATTTCCTATATAATAATAAATAATCACTGGGAAAACAGAATTCACTGATTAGAAATTCACTTTATAGGCACTGTTCAAGAAGAATTGTCTATGGCATAAACTGAAATTTGTACTGAGATCTTAGGCTTTTTTCTTTTACCAAATTTTTAAAACAAAGTAGTTGAATGAATTTGCATTCAAATCTGTTGAGTAGTTGTCTGACTGTTGTATAATCTAGAGCATTATTTCTGTATCTCAGGAAGCTGAATATGGAGGGCATGATCAGATAGATTTGTATGATGATGTCATCTCTCCATCTGCAAATAATGGAGATGCCCCAGAAGACCGGGACTACATGGATACTCTCCCACCAACTGTTGGTGATGATGTGGGTAAAGGAGCAGCACCAAATGTTGTCTATACGTATACTGGAAAGAGAATTGCATTGTATATTGGAAATCTAACATGGGTACGTAAACTTGGCATGTGAATTAAGTTATTGATGATTGATTTTGAAACATTCCAGTAGTTAATGTTTTTCTCCAATTTTGTAAAATAAGAATTTGAAGTTACTAGGTTGGTTCTATATGCACTGAGGAAGGAAATACAGGTACCTTTAAAACATCATAAATTCCAAATTTTTGTAGTCATTCAACTTGTTTTGGTGGATATTCCTATCAAATATAGTTCAGTTATTTTGTCTTCTAATTAATTCTTTTTACTTTACTACTCCTATACTTCAGCTGTCTCAGTTTTACAAAGAAGAATGCTCACATAAAATCTCAAACCAGGATTCAGAAGTGTAGGAGAGAAAGAGACACAATACAACTCTTGGTTTTTAAAGTTTTCATTTTACATCTAGTTCATGTTATAGTCATGTTAAGTTTTATTTCTGCTCTTAAATTTGAAATCTCATTCATGGAAATGCTGCTGTATACATTGTATTTTAATTTGAATAGTTTATGAGACCATAGGATTATTGGTTGGGAGTTTTATTAGCTGGATGTTCAGTGTTATCTATGTTTTATTAGCATTAAGTCTTAAATATTTACTAAAACAGTCCTGTAGAGTTTCTGTAGCTCTACTTAGAAGCATTTATTACACATACTTGAAAGTTTAAAAATTGTCTAGAAGTCAAAACTTGTCACCATTCCACTTCCTTAATAGCATTTTTTAATGTTTAAATTTTTAAAAAACTAATTGATCAATCTCCTGCCATCCAGGCTAAGTGATCTTTATATTGGAGACAGTAGCAATGTAGTTATAAAGAGTGTGGTTGCTAAGTAAGACTTTGAATCTTAGCTCCTACCTCCTACCTATGTTAGCTTTATAACCTTGGACAAGCTCTTTAATCTCTCTATTGCATCATATGTAAAATGGGAATGATACAGGACTTCTGTGTTTTAAGAGTTAAATATTTGATATAAAGTATATGGTAGGCACTGAGTATATGCTAGGATTTTCCCCCCCATTTTATATTGAAACATCAGGTGGAGATTATTTCCTAAAATAATTTCCTTTAAGGAAAGGAAACGACAAGTGAGATTGGTTTTATCGCAAATTTAAAGTCATAGCAATTGAAAGCTGGAAGAGACCAAAAACTAATTGAGTTAAAAAAAAATCTTTATTATCCCTAAGTGTATACCTTCTAATTTCCAAAACTCTTACCAAGGAATAAAGTTAAAAGTCCTCGGGTGCTTTTGTGCTATTTTAAAAATGGAGACTGACTCGTAGTAATTGCACTTAGTTGGTACTGAGCATTAATTTTCTCTTGTTTGTCCTGCGTTTACCCTTAAAAACTAAATTGAAACTAAATATCTTGGCTATGTTTTGATGGTTAATGAGGGGGAAATGTCTTGCAGTGGACAACAGATGAAGACTTAACTGAAGCAGTTCATTCTTTGGGAGTAAATGATATTTTGGAGATAAAATTTTTTGAAAATCGGGCAAATGGCCAGTCAAAGGGGTAAGAATTTTGTTTTAAATTTTTTTTTCCCTAATGTAAGTTAGTAGCTACTGATTACAGGTTTTGGGGTAATTTTCCTTAAAGTTAATGCTAACTAACGTGTAGGGTGTTTTATTCCCTATATTGGCAAGAGGTTCTTGGACAACGATTCATACTTAATCACATATCCTGTTGTCTAGCTCACTACAGTTAGAGGAGCTGGGAGTGTGGACAGATTAGATCTCCTCTCCAGTTTTCCTGAGTTCTCCTGTGGTTGAAATGATTATTGAAATGACAATTTGAAGAAGTATTACTATCCCTGTGATTAGGGATGGAGGAAGATGGACAACTGGAGAATGATGTAACATGTTTTGCTTTATTTTTTTTAAACTATTAAACTATACAAATGAGGTAGGATCATTATAAAATGCAGATGTCCAAAAGTAGGAAAATAAAAAGCCACAATCTCACCATCCATCGATGATTGCTCTTGACATTTTAGTGAATATCCTCTAAGGTTTTTTTCCTAATGCTTATATTTTTATTGCAAAAAGACAATAGGATTACAATTCACATATTTTATAGTATGTTTGATACACGGAGTAAAACAAATATTTACAGTAAATATTTATCTTCTCTAATGTATTAATTTTTTCACCATACCTTGTATGCTACTGTAATTTATTTTACCATTCTTTTGATTATTTGGGTTTCTCGTTTTGCCTATCATAAATGATGTTGCGGCAGGCATTGTTTTATATAATTCTTAGGTGCGGATTTTGAATTTCTTTTAAAGATAATTTGCTGGATGCAGAATGATAAAGTAAAAAATACGCTAATGTGCTAAGTGTATCAGTTTACAATCACTAGGGATATTTTGAGAACATGTGCAGTCTGGCTGCTTCTCATGAACTTCACTTCTGCTACCTGGTCTGAGCCACTATTATCTCTTACTTGAATTTCTATGATAGCCTCCTACCCTGCTTTCACCCTAATCCCCTACAGTCTAGAAGTAGTGCAGTATAGTAGAGGATGGGGAAAAGAGACATCAGTATGTCTGCTCAGTGTCTTCTAATGGCCACCTATTTTATCCAAAGTGAAAGTGAGAATCTTTACTGTGGCCTACAAAGCGCTATGTAAAAATCTGTTTCCCCACTCCCTCTGTAACCTTACTCTTTACCTTCCTTTTGCTGCTTCAGCCACATTAGTCTCTTTGCTGTTCCTCAGACACATTCCTACTTAGGACCTCCTCTTGGCTTACTTTTTCCCAAAATATCCAAATTTTGGAGCTCTCTTTCACTTCGTTCAGGATTCTGTGTAAGAGTTCCCTTCCATGACCACCCGGTGCAAAAATAGAACCTTCTGCTCCCATCACGCTTTCCTTTTTCAATTTTTCCTTATTATAGTGTATTTAACTTGTTTATTGTCTTGTCTCTACTAGATTGTAAGTTCCATGAAAGCATTGATCACTTATTGTATCCCTCACCCTAGAATGATACCTGGCATATAGGAAGTGGTGCTCAATAAACATTTGTTAAATTAATGAATTCATTAAATTATTTCTAAATATTGTGACCCAGGATAATCTTGAGTGTAGCAGAAGACTTTGTTGACTAGAAGAAGGGATCTAATTAAAAGGCCATTTTGAATCCTAGAGAGAAAAGGCTTCTAAGAGTCCTTCTGAGAATAATTTAGAATATCTTACAACAGTATGAACTGATACACATTTGTTTTTTTCTGTTTTAAATTTATTTTTTCTATTGAGATATAATTCACATACTATGAAATTCACCCTTTTAAGGTGTTCAAATCAGTGTTTTTTAGTTTATTTACAGAGTTATACAACCATTACCACTATTTAATTCCAGAACAGTTCATCACCTCAAAAAGAAATCCCATACCCATTGAGCAGTCTGTCTCTGGATTTGCCTATTCTGAAATGGTATCATAAAGAATGTGGTCCATGTGACTGGCTTCTTTCACTTGTCATAGTATTTTCAGGGTTCATCCAAGGTTCATCCATTTTGTAGCATGTATCAGTACTTAATTTCTTTTTATAGCCAAATAATATTTATAGCTAAATAATATTTTTATAGCTAAGTAATTTTATAGATGAAGAATATTCCAGTAATATATGGATACATCACATTTAAAAAATTCTATCATTTGGCAGATATTTGGGTTGTTTTCATTTTTGCTGTAATGCATAAGGCTCCTATGAATATTCATGTACTAGTTTTTGTATGAGCATAGATTTTCTTTTTGTTTTTTAAGAAAATGGTTTCTTTTATCTAAATAGGTTACACCATAGTCCCTATATGGTTTGCCACTGTTCCAAAACCACCCTTTCTCAGATCTTTAATGAAAGAAATTAATACAAACTTCCATTTTTGCTATTATGGATAATGCCCATATGAATATTTGTGTGTCAGTTTATATAAGTATGTATTTTCAATTCTGTTGGGTACATATATACACACAGGAGAAGATTTATTGCATTGTATGTTAGCCCTACATACCATGTAGGGTTGAGGAACTGCCAGAATGTCAAAATGGCCACAGCATTTTACGTTTCCCATTAAGCAGTGGATGAGGGTTCTAATTTTCACCATATCCTCACCAGCAGTTGTTAATTGTCTTTTTGATTATAGCTGTCCTAGTGTGTGTAGGGTGGTACTGTTGTGGTACATTTCCCTGTTGGCTAATGATACTGAACATTTTTTCATAGTGACATTATTCATAATCATCAAAAAGTGGAAACAGCCCAAATGTCCATCAGGTAATGGATTTGGGGAAATATAGTATATCCATATAATGAAATATTATTCAGCCATGAAAAAATCAAGCACTGACATACGCTACAGCGTGCATAAACCTTGAAAACATTATGCTAAGTGAAAAAAGCCAGGCACAAAGGACCACGTATTGTATAATTCCATTCAAATGTCCAGAATAGGCAAATCCATAGAAACAATGAATTAATGAGGGTTGGGGGATGGAAAAAATGGAGTGACAGCTAATGGGTGTGGGGGTTTTTTTAGAGTGATGAAAATGTTCTAAATTGATTGTGGCAATGGTTGTAAAATTCTCTGTTACTAAGAAAACCCACTGAATTATATATACACTGTAAGTGAGTGAATAATATGTGTTGTTATTTTTAAAAGTTAAAGACGAAAGTGAGGTTGTATAATTCTAAGACATGTTTTCTGTTTTCTTAGGTAAAATTAAATTCAGACCATTTTGTTTTTAATAATGGTAATGTTGTTATTCTGTCCTCACTTTCTAACCTCAACCCATTAAACATCTTTTAGGTTTGCCCTTGTTGGTGTTGGATCTGAAGCATCCTCAAAAAAGTTAATGGATCTGTTGCCTAAAAGAGAACTTCATGGTCAGAATCCTGTTGTAACTCCATGCAATAAACAGTTCCTGAGTCAGTTTGAAATGCAGTCCAGGAAAAGTAAGCAACCCCTCAGAGGCTTTTATTAAAAGATGTGCATTTTAACCAATCTTGCTAGCATTTGTTGGATGTTACACTAGAGAAATCATCTTAATATTTATATTTAGTTAATTGGAGAATCCATCTTAGAGAGTCCATGCTTTGAATTTGATTTAAATTACTAATTATGACTGTGGTCCCGTGTACTGGAAACCTCCTCCCATTTTTCTCCAGATGTCACAGACCCAACATAATACTACAGTATGCAAGTTCTGTAGGTCTGCCGTTCTTGTTCTGTCATTCCCATCCCAGAGAAAGGAAGAAGCTACATTCTAATCCCTAGATTGAAGGAAAGTTATATGGATGTGTGTTATGGTGGGGGAGAAACCACTGATAACCAGAAAGTATTCGTTGATTTTCTGCTTGGCACCAAGACCTTTCACCACTTGGTAAAGTGACTATAGAAAAGATTTGCCATAATACACTTGTGAATGTTATCATTTAAAGAAATAAGATGATCTTGTAATTAACAGAAATTCAGGTGGTTTTTCTTTTAATGTTTTAGCACTTAACTGATGGATAATATGTTATTAAATTTAAATTATCTATGCTTACTGAAATTGAGATTTCTGTTGGAGAATTTTGGTCTTGGCTGCTGCAGAGTATGGTATTTTGAAAGTAACTCATATTTGCTTATTGGAAATACATTTAAGCCTGGATCTTTTGAGACTTCAAAAGAAATTAAAGAGATATGAATGTTTTCCTAACTGGTACTTCTTATGTAGTTTGGACAGGCACAAGGCATCTGCAAGTTAGTGTATAGTGTAAATGAACTTTAAAATAGAGTTGTTTCTAATAACAGTGGTTACATATCAGAGAACTATTTTAATAAATGCTATTTATGAGTATTTGAATATTTGCAGCTACGCAATCAGGACAAATGTCTGGGGAAGGTAAAGCTGGTCCTCCAGGAGGCAGTTCACGTGCAGCATTTCCACAAGGTGGTAGAGGACGGGGCCGTTTTCCAGGGGCTGTTCCTGGTGGGGACAGATTTCCTGGGCCAGCAGGACCAGGAGGTCCACCTCCACCTTTTCCAGGTAAAATTTTTCTTAAATTACCATGGATAAAATATGTCTACCTAATACCTCTTTTCCTTTTCTCTCTTTTTCAAGTAATGCATTATTAATGTGACTTACTCTCCTTGTTATGCTATTTTTGGAATCCAGGAAATTTGATCAAGCATCTTGTTAAAGGAACTCGGCCTTTGTTCCTGGAAACTAGGATTCCATGGCATATGGGGCACAGCATAGAGGAAATACCCATTTTTGGCCTAAAAGGTCTTTATTTTTCTCCAAACTTGCTTGACTTATATATAGAATATTTACATCCGTCTTATTTTCTTACCTCTTAAAAAATCCTTTCAAGACCATTTTTCCTTGTTTCACTTTCTAGCTTGGCATCAGAGTAGACTATAAGGTGGGTGATTTCACTGTAAGAAGTGTGTGTACGCTGAAAGATGGAAACTATCTCTAAGCATTGTAATCTATTAAAGTTTTTGTTTCAGTAATTTTCCTTAAGCATAAATTGAGCTAGTTAAATGTGTAACGATATACTTCACTTTGTAATTGTTAGTGTAGCATTTATATATGGGTTTCATTTAAAGAGAAAGAATCTTGGTCTGTGAGTTATGCTTTAAAAGTATAATTTTGGCATGAAGATTAAAATCTTATTGAAGTGTTTTTTTTTTATTTTCTTTCTCTCTCCCTTTTATTCTATAGCTGGACAGACTCCACCACGTCCACCCTTAGGTCCTCCAGGCCCACCCGGTCCACCAGGTCCTCCACCTCCTGGTCAGGTTCTGCCTCCTCCTTTAGCAGGGCCTCCTAATCGAGGAGATCGCCCTCCACCACCAGTTCTTTTTCCTGGACAACCTTTTGGGCAGCCTCCGTTGGGTCCGCTTCCTCCTGGTCCTCCACCTCCAGTTCCAGGCTACGGCCCCCCTCCTGGTCCACCACCTCCACAACAGGGACCACCTCCACCTCCAGGCCCCTTTCCACCTCGCCCACCTGGCCCTCTTGGGCCACCCCTTACACTTGCTCCTCCTCCGCATCTTCCTGGACCACCTCCAGGTGCCCCACCACCAGCTCCACATGTGAACCCGGCTTTTTTTCCTCCACCAACTAACAGCGGCATGCCTACATCAGATAGCCGAGGTCCACCACCAACAGATCCATATGGCCGGCCTCCGCCATATGATAGGGGTGACTATGGGCCTCCTGGAAGGTAAGTTAGTATTTATCTATGAAAGTGGACTTGATGTATTTGATCTGCAAAAGATATTTTTCACACTGAATTTTCTTAAAAAGTATGACCTTTCCCCCTACATCCTTAATTTTCTGTATTATTTTCCCTTAGAAGAAGCAGTATAATATGGTGAAAAACATACTGTACAGGGTTGAGAATAATCCAGCTCTGCCACTTACACAGCCATATGATTTTTAGGGCAAGTCACTTCATTTCTATCATTTTTTTTAAATTAAAATAGGTTACTAAAGATAATTTAAGTGAGCAAATGGGATCCTTAAGCCATTTTTAAGATTTTAAAATCTGAATCGCATTTACCATTGATAACACTACATAGAATGCTAGTTTCTTCATTATTTTAGGAATTAGATCAGTTTATTAGATAGGTACTATTGATTATCTCATGCTCATCAGGAGTCCTGAGTAGCAAAATTATTAACTTTTAATTAAAATGGGAACATTAAGTAATTTACAGAGGCTTATAAAACACGGACTTTATGGAAATTAAAATAGTTAATGGTAATCCTGAGAGAAAAGCTGCGTGGAAACCACAGTGGAACTAAATGATCACTAAGCCCTCTTTTGAAATAATTTTAAAACTATCTGTACTCAAATCGTAATCTGGAGAGCTATATTCTTAATTTCTAAGAACTATTTAAATTTGCCCCTTCAGTTTCCTTTGAGTTTATCATTTGAATTTGTATTCTTTATCACTGTTGAACTACTTTGTATTTCAGTTTGTTTGATATTGTCCTGCAGGGATGGATTTGAGCATCTGTTTAATTTCATACAGTTGCACAGGGCCAGAGAAATGAGTTTGGAAAAGTTTGTTGACAGTTACCTATTCATAGACATTGTGTCTTTATGATTGCCAAAAATGCTTGAAAGATGTTACAACTGCAAGGCTAGCACAACTTTTCTTCTGTGCAGTTTAATTCCAGCGAACAACTACCTAGCAGGTGTTCACCCTTAATGTATAGGAGTGGGTTAGGTGGCTTGGTTCAACAGTTTAAAATTTGAGTTTCATATCCTTTTCCTAACATAATAGAATTTCTACAGTATCAGGTTTTCTAAAAATATGTGTATGTATATATTTTTTGTTATTATTGAGTAGTTTTTAATAGAAAATTGGATTGTAAAATGACTATAACTCAATACAAGAAATATTAAAAAAAAAGAAAATTGGAGAACACATCCTACATAAGTTTTTTTTTTAAAGGGGGTAGGATGGGTATATGTCACAGAATTTAGTTAAAATCATACATGGATTTTGAACAACTTGTAGTTTCATCAGGATGTTTATAAAGTTTTGGGGATAACAGTAATATCTTTTAAAACATGCAGAAGGTTATATTAGCTGTTTCCTCATTTCATTAGAATGAGCTGCTACTGCTTGCTTCAGTTCAACATCCTACCTAATAACTAAGATGGCAAAAAATTTACCTTTTCCTGTGCTATACATGTAGTCACAATTTTTAAAGTTGTCCAACAGGTTTAGAAAATCTTGGGATTTAATTTTTTTCAACAAATATTTACAGGTACTGACTACCCTTTATTTGCTGGATATTCTTCTAGGGATTCAGTGGCAAACAAGATAAGTCTAAGATCTCATCCCTCCTGAAATTTTATTAAACAGACATTTATTATCCTTCTGTTGTGAGTTGGCCTCTGCACCTAGAGGACCCAAACATAAATGAAACTAAATTCCCACCCTTGATTGTGTAGGGATGTATTTTTTCCATTCAGCGTTTTTTTGTTTATATATACATGTGTGTATATATAGAGAGAGACAGAGACAGCAGAACAGTTTATTGTATCTGTTTTTGTATGACTTTGAAAAATAATGTATTTTAGATTTGTAAATAGATCATCTCTAGTCTCCAGAAAGATGAAGTTTTTAAGTTGCTACTTTATTTCAGCTGAAAGGTAATGGTGCAAGATAATTTTGCTTTGACTTACTCTCTTTGTAGGAAAAATAGCATATTTCAGTCTGACAAAGTAACTACTAAATTGTAAGGCACTTGTCAAAAGCAACTATTAAGAATTGCTTTACACTGTTATGACTAATTTAGGAAATCATTTGAGTACAAGTTAAGGTTTATTTTGATTTTATAGGGAAATGGATACTGCAAGAACGCCATTGAGTGAAGCTGAGTTTGAAGAAATCATGAATAGAAATAGGGCAATCTCAAGCAGTGCTATTTCAAGAGCTGTGTCTGATGCCAGTGCTGGTTTGTATATTTGTTTCTGTATTAATATTTCTCATTTGTGCTATTAGGAGTGACCTAAAACTTTTAAGTACAATCTTGAAGAGGGGTTATCTACATGCAAGAGTTATTTTTTTATATTTCCAAATCATTACCTATATTTAAAGGGCATTGAATGGATCTGTATATATAGTGTAGTGGAAAGACCCCTAATATAAAATTTTTAGGTGTATAATAGGAACAGATTATTGTTAATTTCATGTATATTAATGCCTTTCCCAGATAGTGAAACACTGAAAAAAATTAAGACATCTTCTTTAGTCATTTTAAAGTGCATTCCTTTTGTAAAATGTTTAGTCCAAATGATTTGGTGGTGTTTTGAAAACAAAATTTGACTTCAGTCTCTCTCCTTTCGCTCACAGGTGATTATGGGAGTGCTATTGAGACACTGGTAACTGCAATTTCTTTAATTAAGCAATCCAAAGTATCCGCTGATGATCGTTGCAAAGTTCTTATTAGCTCTTTGCAAGATTGCCTTCATGGAATTGAATCCAAATCTTACGGTTCTGGATCAAGGTAAAACTTTCCTGTCTCATGCCTATTTAAAACTGCTTTTTACAAATAGAAAAATATTGTGTGTTTGAGATTTACAAAACTTTGATTTACTTATTACTGTTTAATTAGCAGCTAGAGTGATTTTTGGTTTTGTTTAAACTCTAAGTCAAATGTTGGGTGTTCACTTGATTAAACCCCCTCAAAGACTTCCAGTTACTCTTACTGAGACTGTAAACATTGAGATACTGTGTGATATAGTTCCTGTCCTTTCAGCATCATTGTGTACCTCTCTCCTTGCTCACTATTCTCTAGCCATGTTGTTCTCCCTTCTCTTTCTCTTAACATATCAAGCACTCGACCACCTCACTGTATTTGTACTTGATATTTATTCTGCTGGGAGCCCTTTTCCCTGGCTCTTCCCTAGCTGGCTCCTTATCCTTCGTGCCTCAACTCAGTCTAACTTCCTAGGAGTCCTCTCCCAGGTTATTTTGTCTATTTGTTCTCTTTATTTCTTTCATAATACTTAACATAATTTATTCTTATTTAATATTACTAAAGCACATTTCTGTTAACTAGAACACATGGAAAGATGGAAGTGATCTTGTCTCTTACTGGTCTTGTTCACTACAATATTTGTAATGACTAAACAGTGCTTGGTACAGAATGGGTGGTAAATAAGTATTTCTTAAACAAGAAAGTTAATGAATGATCTATTTCTTAGGGTTTTTTTAAATTATAGTTCCTTTTTTTGGCATTACTGCTAACCATGAAATTTTCCATATTTTTGCAAGGTAGATCTTTAATCTGCATATAGTATTCTTAGATCTGTCTTTAGTATGCTTTATCTGGTGGTAGAGTCTTCTTCATTAAGTTAGGAAAAGGAGCTTGTCTTTGTCATGGTCCCCAACTTTATACTGCTACCTTTTTGACCCAGTATAAGGATCTTTGGATTTGAACAAATTTGTCATAGCTAAAGACCATATCTTATATAGTCTTCTTTTAATTTTTAAAGTCCAAAGTAATAACTTCTATGTTGATCAGAAGCTTAGCACTTAATAATGTTTGCTAAGTCTAGGTGTCTGGTGCATAAATACAAAATAGAGATTAAACTAATTGGCATTTCCTTATTGTGAATTTCAGAAATGAGAATAGCAGGATTTATAAGGCTTACACTTTGGTTACCAAAGTACCTGTTTTTGTTTCTTTTAAAGGCAGCTCATGAAACACTGAATAGTATCCCAGTCTTTTCTAGTGGTCGTATTTACTGTTTCTTCTCTGCTTCCCACCATGCCCCTCAACACCAACCCCCCAAGCATACATGTGTATGTACTTCATTATAAAGTTTCTTAGTGGGGTAGGACTTAACTATGAACCATATTTTGGTAAGTTATAAATGTAAAATTGGTATTTACATATAGGTTTAGGTAATTTGTGTTAATCAGTGGTAGTTTTATGTTTATTTAAGTCCATTGTATATTGAATGATTTCATGAATTTTATGTCTAAAAAACTACCTCTTACATGCTCTTTAGCTTGAAACACGGGTCCTTTGAAATTTTCTCTCTTTTTCCTTTCTGCTTTTCTTTCAATAAACACTGCATGTCTGTTTTAGGCTACCTGTTATAATAGGTATAATAGATGATATGATGTAATGCCATGGTGTGTCTGGTTCCCAATTTTGGGGTGAATATTTTTTAAAATGGGATTTCTAGTTCACGCTTGTAGGTAAGTTTGTAAATCATGATTGGCAGTTCAGGATATAGTTAGTCTAAACTAGATTTGTCAGTTATTTTTTGCCTTCTTAGGTGTTTTTAAACATCAAAATATTGAATAACCTTTTTAAAGGCCATCCAATTACGGAGAACATTAATTCAGTAATTTCTTTTAGAAGACGTGAACGATCAAGAGAAAGGGACCATAGTAGATCACGAGAAAAGAGTCGGCGTCATAAATCCCGTAGTAGAGATCGTCATGATGATTATTATAGAGAGAGAAGCAGAGAACGAGAGAGACACCGGGACCGGGACCGGGACCGGGACCGAGAGCGTGACCGAGAGCGCGAGTATCGTCATCGTTAGAAGGTGGGTATTCCTTGTTCCTGTTATATTTAGCATGTGTATTATTAACAGTAATAACTCCGAGGCTGTTGTTTATACAGTATATATGGTCCAACTACTTGTTCAGAATTAAATCTTCTGGAAACATCTGTGATAAATGACAGGTGAGTAATGCCAGGTAAACATTTTGATACCTCTTATCCTTGATTATTGTATTGCTTGCTTGAGTTACAGCTTTTAGGTTTCATATTGTTAATGGTCCTAAGAATCAAGAAAATAATCAAGAGGACTCATTGCCTACTTCTAAAATCTAAAAATTGGAATTTTCTTAATCACATACATATTTTGCATGTGATGTAAAATATAAAATAGAGGGGATTAATTCATAGATACAGTGTGCTTGGACTTTAAAAAAATAAATTTAAAGTTCTCTCCTTGAACTAACTTTATTTATCCCTAAAACTTTTTTTTAAAGAAACCTAACACTATAATAGTTTATAATAGAGGAGGGTGGTTTCTCAGCATTGAAAGAGCTTTTCTACTTGAAAAAATTGTTTTTAGAAAAGACGCTTTTCCTGCCGTCTGGGTTTTGTTTTTAAAAGAAAAGAATTAGTACTCTTTAATTTGCAGAGAAGATATGAAAGTTACTCAATTAAAATGGGTTCAGGGTATTCCATATAAAGAATTTTAAATTGTATCAGATCATACATCCCAGGTTAGAATAACCTTGAAATAATTTTCTTTGATGTTTCATTCATAAGCCATAATCATTGTGTCTTTTTTTCTGTATTTTAAAACTATTTCTTGTGTACATTTTTCATAAAGCGGGATGAGTTGTCTGTTTATACTTCATTTTCACGTGTAATTTTATTTTTATATTTGTGAACAGCATTTATGTGAAAAGTGGGGAGAGGGCACATAAGGCTTGTGCACGTGACACAAAGGTTATTCTGTAAACAGATTTTTTTTCTTATGTTGGTTGCATATCCAAATTAAATTAGGCTAAAACAAACCCCTTATAGGTAGCTACTCTTTACATGATTATTTTCCATAAATAAAATTGGGAAATATAAAAATTCAATTATGGTAATTGTTAGTATTTAAATTGTTATGGGCAAAATCAAAGACTTGTATATAATTCTGTGATAGAATAGCAGTTTCTTTAAAGTAGGTATATTTTAGCAAATGAGATCCTTTTAAAATAATATCACTTAGAAAATAAGCATGTAAGTCTTATTTTTATGGTACACAAATAAGCTATTACATTTATAGTTTTAAGGGGTTTTTGAAGTGAAAAGGCAAGTTTTAATATTTTGCTTGCATTTTGAATATGCATCTTGAATACTTATCAAAACTTTAAAATAAATTTCAAAACACTATTTTAATATGAGGCAAAACATTTTTTTACTTTTAAAACTAAGCTTTTTGAAAACAGCTCTTTGGATGTAAGAATTGAATGTTATATCATGTAAAACTAAACAGTAAATTTTAAAGATGTAGCTTTTTCGCCCCCTGAGTTGAATAGCTCTGATCCCATCTTAAAGAATTGTTAGTGTCCATCAATTATTTAAGGTGAACTGAGGCCAACTTACTGAAGTGCTTAACGTATATCAGCCATTTCATTTATAGTAAGGTACAAGTCCTTCAAGTTATATTTTTATTTAGACTTTGTCAGTTATCAGCAAACTTCTAGTTACTGAAGATGTGATAATGGAACTTGCATACATTTTCAGTCATTTCCTAGATTGTATGTTCCCCCATCAAGGAGCTTCTCCACCAGTTTATACCCAGAGTTAATTAACGAATTTTCTTACTGATTTTAGTTAGACTAGCATAGTCAACAAGTAAACTCCTAAAAAGTCCATCGTTAATTTTAAATACTTCGAATTAACTAACATTACATTCCAGTAATGGGTACACCTAACTGTATCATGGTTTGAGTTTCATTACATTCAGACATTAACTATGAATTCCTAACTTGCAAACTATTGTTGACATTTCTTCTTAATCACTGATATGTACCATACTAAAATTCCCATGTTTTGTTTGTACATTAATCAGAATTGAGTTGTAATCTTGTTACGTGCCTTCATCCAAGCAAAATTTTACATAAGCATTTCCAGTACAAAAAATTCTGTTATCTTGGAATATTGTACCTTTGCTATACTAAACAGTATTTATTGCGGATGTAGACGTGAATAAATGGGTGGGGACTGGAATTAAATATATCCAAGTAAAAAAACTTTTTTAAACAAATTATTTGTGCATTTAATCACCATCATAATAAGGTCTGTTGACCTTTTTAGAAGTTTTTAACTATGAGTCCTTTTGAGCTTTCATGTAAATCTTAAATGGACTAAATGGAATGAGAGTAATTTGGAAGCTAAAGTGAATGTCAGTAGTAAGTCTGTATACAAGTAAAACAATAATGTAATCTATCATTAAAGTGATGATGAATGACTAAAAAGGCAAGTTCTTAATTTAACTGGAAACTTAATGTTGGCAAGCTGTTAATGTCTGTCCCATCTTAATTTTTTTTGTGTTTGAACTGTTGGTAATGTTAATTACATTCTCTCATTTAAAAAATGTATTAGTTTTTCTAAAAGTATTTAATATCAAAGTTCAAATAGATAATATTCTAATAGGAATATCAGTATTGTAAATTTCAGCATGTAACTACATTGTGCCTTTTATTCTGTAATTTCTGCCTCTATTCTCAGACCACTCTGAGCAAAACAAAGGTAGTTCAGTATTTCAATTTTAAGATTATATACTTCTCATAGAAGTAATTTTATTTTCATAGTTATTTTAAGCTGTATTCCTCTTATTACTTGTTTGGAACAAACCAACTCAGCAAATTTCTGTCAATAGCTTTTCTTTGTATACTGAAGAGTAATGAAACCAAATTATTTTTTTAAATACTCTTTATTTATTCATGCTTTTCCTGTCCCTGACATGATGTTTGCACATTCTCAAATCATCCATTTCTTTGATCAGATTTTTAAGCATCATGTACGTGATGGGGGTTAAATAACTATACTTTCCTTTGCTGTATGGTTACTTTTCTTCAATCATAAACATGATCTTCAATTTTGTTGTCATTGCACAAGATTTAGGGTGTTTTGCATTCCTTATTCAGTTTATAGCTTTGTATTAATTTGGGAAAAACAAAAAAACCCCAAAAGAATCAAAAGTTCTTTCTTTCATGTTAAGATGTTTTCTCCTTAAGAGTTAGTGTTACTTTGAGTCTTATGTGAAAATTAAATTCTAATTATCTGATGAATTATACTGGTGGTAATGAGATTTAAAAGTTATTTCTGTAACTCTTAGTCATCTGAGATTTGCCTAATATTGTCTAGTCCTGTGTTTCTTTGCAATTTCCCGTATAACCCTGTTGCCTCACCTAGATGTGCCAGCTCTCACTTTTTTTGCTCTAATTTTCCTTGCTTTTAGTATTACTTGCAAAACCTGTCTGACTACATAGTTATCTTATGTGATAAGAGGGTAGGAAGTGATCCCTTGAATGGATGTATATAGTGTGTGTTTTGCTCACTGTGGTTTAAGAATATGGTTTTCTTTACAAATGATGAATGTTCCCTGTTTTTTAAAAAAAAAAGTCCAGTGCCAATGTGAGTCACCTTGATCTCTCACTTTCATCTCAGTGTGAAATTTACTACCTTTGTTATTTAGGTTGTAAATTAGATTGTTTTGAATAAATAATGGTTTGAATGAACAGTTAAGCATTATTTAAAGGAAACCTAATAACCAAAAAGGGGTAAGGGTGTCATATATGCTATCCAGATTTACTAATTTGCCTCCTGTGGTAGCATGTTTTAACTCTCACAGTGAATTTTAAATTACACAGCAGCTTATTTTGAAATGTCCGTTTTGTGAATTTTGGGGGGGCAAAACTGAGTATTTAACTGTGGCGAAGTTTATTTCTACTATTTAGTGAACTGCCTAGAGCAACAATCATGTATATGTTTTCTAGTGTAACAAAATGCTTTAGTTAAGATGAGGTAAGTACTATCTCCAGAAGTGGAAGGGTGAAAGTATGAAATGTTTTCGTAGTAAGGGAATTTTTTGTAAACATCTATAGTAAAAAGAATTTTGTGTAATGTGTTCTGGTCAATGCAAGAAGGGATTTTGATTTTAAAAAGAGTTAACTTGTATTTAGATACTTCTATTTCTTTTGCCCACCCCATCTCTCCATTCCTCTCATTAAGAAAAAATTTTCAGATAAAAGTGAATTTTATTTTGCTGAGTTAATAAAAGTACTCTAAAATTATATTAGAATCCTTTTAATTCAGTATTTTATTTCACAACCTGTAAAACATCCATATCTATTTGAATTTTTATTGGAAAGATGAATTTGCCATGAGTTTAGAGATACTGATACCAGTAAATTTGCTTAGATAAGTTTCTAACAGAAACAGTCATAATTTGAGTTGTTAGTATTGATTTGATCTTACATTGTCTCAAAATACAGGTGCTTTTCTGTTTGAAATTTTAATTTAGTGCTTACTTTACAGACTTCATTAAAGAGCCATAGATTCCATATGTCTAATTTTTTTTTTAAACAACTGTCTACATAGATCTTTTATAACTGATAGATAAAGCAAGAAATTGTGTGGCTTTGACATCACAGATTTGAGCACATGGTATTCTGAAAACATGAGCATTGTTTGTCATATTTGTCACTTAAGCTTCTTTTTGCTATCTTTGATTATGTAGATTTCTACTTTAGAAATTTGAGACTATAATATGGAATTGGATTATTGGAAATGGGTTGTATTGCCTTCAAATTTGCTTTCTTTTTGAGATTGTAAAATTTGTATCTCCAAATGGATAAATGTAAAGTGTTTAGAAATAGAAATAAAAACTGTCAGATTATCCCCTAGATTTTATGTCTGTATGATGAAAATTAGAGACTTATTAATAGTAAAGATCTATCTATAAAGTATACTCAAGCAAAAGATAAGTGCATTCATCCTAAAGATATGTGTTGTAATTTCACAAACAGGATTCTCTACATAAAAAGTAGTAAAATTCTCCATTGGAGTGATAAGTGATATAAAATTGCAGTATATACCATATGTTTTTTGGAAGGGTTGGGTATTTTTGTTTTGCTCACTGTGACTTAAAATAATATTTCCCCTATTATTCATCCCTTCCAACATGACAGAATAATTAGGGATATAGCATCTTTTTGCAGTAAGATTTATGAATTTCTGAGTAATCCCCATTTTTTCAGATTAGAACATATGCCTTCTCTCTCTTTAATACTTCAATACTAGTTTTTTAAAGTTCTTTGCAAGTAGTGAAGATAAAATATATGAAAGCTACCTTTCTTTTTCCATGAAATAATTCCACCAAAAGCTTCACCAGCATAAGATAAAGTATAATAAAAGGTAACATTAGAAATGGCTTAAGTATCTCTTTGAAAAATGTGGGCAAATAGAAACTAAAAGATAAAAGTCCAGGGTTACATAACACCTGTTTTCTCGTTTTGCAGTTGTAAAATTTAGGTTTCTACTGGTAGGCATTGTGAATGCATATGTGTACTGATGCTCTTAAGATGCTTACAGCCTAATTGAAGAGGAAAGGACATAAAAGATAAAATTTATAGTTGTGACATAGTATTAATTACTCTTCATTGTAGAGCAAAACATATTTTTCAGTTACTTCTATGGAAGATTATCACTAAACATTGTGCCCTTTGCCTCTTAACATCATCTTATTGAAATGCTGTCTTGGAGTTTATATTTTAAATATTTGGTGTTTGAGTGATCACTTATATCCACATTAATTAAATGTTTCTTTTGTGAACCTCTACCTGAAGTTTGCATATTTATGTATTCTTGAAATTTTAGTTTTATCTGATTTATTGGGGTTTTTTCCTTTATGTGAGTTTTCAATGAAATTTATCATTGTAGATTCCTGTTTAGTTTATTTTGGGTTAGTTTATATACTATGGTAGATATTTCTATATAGGTGGAATAGAGTGAAAATAAAGTAAATGTTTTAAATTTGTATTACGTCTAAAGATTTGTACGTGGATGTCATATTTATTTAAATGTGCCTAATGAGCTATATATTCATAAATTTGTAACATTGAGGACCATTTGATTTATATCATTTGCAGAAGTTCCTGTATGCTGTTAAATAAATAAATAATTTGTAAAATAATTTCTTGCATTTATATTTAGTTCACATTTAATTGTTAATGAGTTATATAGAATTTATGTGGGTGAACGAAAAATATTTACATTAAAATCATCCAGGCATTTTCCATTTATTTTTGTAGTATGCATATTTTAGAAAATGACTTAAATGTTTCCATCTTCACTGAAACAGTAGCTGCTACATTTTGATTTCTGTTTCAGTCATTAAATTTATAAGGGAGTAATACTTAAGAAGAATGAAATCAGAATGTCTCAGTTTTAGTCACCACATAAATTGGGAGCATTTCTCCACCATAAAGGCAGCTACTGTTTCAGTTAATTCTTATTTTGTGTTAGAGTACGTATCAGTGAAGTAGATGCACGACTTGCATATGTATAGTTAAGCCAGCGTTTTTCTGTGTATTATGGGGAATAGCAAAATCTACATCATAAATTTTGACACATTACAGCTGAAGGAAGAGGAACACCTTCCAAGACAAAACAGTCTTCATGGGGGAAAAATGACGCTTGTCCAGCAGTTTGCTTCTTGTGATTGAACTGAACCTGTAAGGATTCATGGATAAAATGAACAGGAATAGATCTGAATAAAGCAAATCTGCATAAATGGTAACCAGTAGCTCTACTTTTATTTTTTATGTTGCTTAACTGTTTTATTTGAAGGAAACCAGTGTGATTTAAAAAGTTATAGCTTTTGCAACTTTATTACTGGTTATTTACATTTGGCCATTATAATGTGCAAGCAATTGGAAAAAAAAAGTCAAGTAAATGCTTGTTTTATAGTAGTTTGTTCTTGTTAAAAATGTTCATATGATAATGTCTGTAAACAGCACCACTTTGATTACAATAGATGTAGTGTTGTAATAAACTGTTTAATGGGGCTGATGTGTAAAGCTGTTCAAGTTATTTGATGTTTACACCTCAGGGAAAGTCTTGTGTTCAGCAATATCTAAAGATAATGTTACTATGACATTTATACTGTCCTTTAAAAAAGCATTGCAATAGCGTTTTTGGATATGCATCACTCTTAATCTTGCGTTCAGTGAATTAAACATACTAATTAAGTGTCTCTTGCCCTCAATTTTGATATTAGAATAGGTGATTACATGGGTATTTAATATTTCTATATTCTGCTTTTCTAGCTGTTTTTACCTAGTTAAGCTTGTGACTTTGCTGAATGATATGTAAACTTGTAAAAACTGAAATTTCACGACGTAGCAATCCAGTCAATGTGTTAGGGGTCAAAATTTTTGTGGTTTTAACATTTTAGTAAAAACCCATACATGATTTGCTACAGTAATGCAGCTTACTTACAACACATGTGCTGAAACTAATTGTAAACTGCTAGCATTGAAGAAATATTTTGACAGTTCTGATTTGATGCGGCAGTTATTTGCTGTTTTGTATTGATAGTGCTTATGGTTTATTTTTGAAGCCATGGGCAATGTAAATATAGCCAGCCGTGCAGCACACAGATGTGAGTAAAGAAAGCCTTAGTTTTATTTACCAGTTACAGGAAATACGTTTCTGAAGGGTGTGATGTTTATTAACATTGGGTTGTATTCTCCTGTATGTGTAATGGGAGATTATAGGTGTACCCATCTCCACAATTTAAGGAATTCTGTATATTCATGAAACCTATTGATTCATGCTGAAGTTAATCAAAGATTTTTTTCAAACCTGCCTTGCATATAAGCCCACATTAAAAGCACCTGGTTAGCATGTGTTCTTCATTGTAAAATTAGCATCAGCAGTGTCAAGTTGATCAGACATTTTTATAGGAAGGTCATTCTGAATCACCACTTCAGAAATTTGAGTTAAAATCCTTAAGCAAGTTAATTTTTTAAAATGTTTTTAAAATGAGTATCTTTGAGAGATCTTCTAATAATACACATTGTTTTTTTTAAAAAAAAATTGTCGAATTTTAGAGCAGTGCTATTAAAGTATTTAGGCCCCTAGATATTATGTAACGTGCGGTGGTAGAAGCCCTCCAGGGAACTGCAGTTCTTCTCTTTCATATTGTCCACTATCACGCTAGTTTTTAAAAAATTAGCTGTTTCAAATTATTTATATTATTGCCAGTTTTATTTTAAAACATTTTGTGATTAGAGTATTTGCATGGGATCATTGGTGTTTATCAGAACTGTCTGCTCTCAGATTTAAGTGTTCTATCTTGTTGAAAATGCAGTTGCCTTTTTAATATTATTTGAGGTTGTTTCAAAATCTGTTCTCTTGCTTTGTGTATAGGTATTGTTAGTTTTTGTCATGTCTTAGCTTTTTTTTATATTACAATGCCGTAATGTGAAGAAGTGTGGACATAAATATATTACAAGGGAATTTATTAGTTAATAGTAAGCTTAAAAGGTAAGTAAATGTCCATGAGATAAAATTTTCTCTGAACAGTTTAAAAATGGAGTCATAAAATCTTTAACTGTGCTTGAACTTGAAATGAAAACTGGAAACTTTGTACTATTTAAATCCTTCGTTCACCTTTTCATTTTTTATCAGTGGAACCCTTTAATTGCTCGTTCTATATCACTCTTCTTCCTTCTTGGCTGATCTCATTATGTGACTTGTTGCAGACAATGTTGAGTGTACTAGAATTGTTTGCTGTTAGTCCATTATTTTTAAGTGTTGTCAGAAGGAAATAACTTGATTTGACTAATTTTTGCGAAGTCTTTCTCTGATAAATGAATGTATAGCAGTAAAGGTGAAAATGCAAGCCTTGTTTTATTCTTCATATCCCTTCTGTTTGTTTTTTTTTAATGGGCTGATGTTATTTGGAAACTTTTTTTTAATGTTTAAAAACAATCCAAAGAGATAAATCTTTACATAGACACCAAAAAAAAAAAAAAGAATCCCAGAGATCCCTTCATTTCTTAATAATAATTTTAGTGGATATGAAAACAAACTTGAGCTTAATTTTAAACCATATCATTTATTAGTCAAATTCCTTTCAGCCAGTAAAATTATGAATCAGTGATACAGCACCTGAATGGTATCACTTTTGAAGCAACGCTTTGAATTGAATGTGCTGCTTTTAGTTAAAGGACATATGTTGTGGAAAGGATATTCCAGTATAAATTTGGAAGTGTTTATTTTGTCAGTTTTCATAAGCAAGATATGGAGTAAGTTGCAGTAGCTAATGATCATAGTTTAGCATATTAACCTAGAATATTCTTGAGCAGTTAACTACAATTTGGAGTTCACAAAAATCTTATGGATTGTAGCTTAAAGGTATTATTTTCAGTTAATTCTCCTGTGGAGAATATTGCTTTGTTTTCTACTAGATTAAGGTCAGTTCTGAAAATAAACATGGAGGTTTTAGTGGATGTTGTATAACACTTTATAGTGGAAGGGGAAAACTGTTGGAAGGGTAAAGACTTTTCCCCTATGTATTTAAATGTGCCAATAACCGAAAAATACATACTGTTTTATACAATGAGATGCTACTACAAGACTTCCTGTTGGAGTGCTCTCAACATTTTGGTTTTCATACCTGAGTGATCATTGCATTTTCTGTATCTTATAAGATGGCTTCACTTTTGTGTTTTAAGCTTCAGCTTGTTATTTTAAGAGGAAGTTAATGTTCTAATTTTTTACTGAGAATACAGTATTGAGATACTAGCTGTTTTACAGATAATTGCCTTTTAAATTTTTTTCATTAAGTTCATTTGCATCCCATAGCTATCTGTAAATGTATCCCGTAGTTGTATGTACTTTAAATGCACGCTTATCCATTGTACATATTAGACATTTTTGTGCTGAAATACATTAAGTGGGATTTTTGTAGCAAAACATTCTATTTTTTGTTCTTACAGTGTGTGTGTATGTTGTTTTTTTTACATTAACCTTCAGTTTAAACACTGGTGTATTTTATTTTTTAACAACTTGACTCTTAGAAGCCTTAGACTAATTTTTTAATAAATATTCAACCAAAAATTATAAATTTATTAAATGTGGCCTTACACATAGCATTCCTTGTGTTTGTAATGTGAGATTTTTGGTTTAGAGAAATAAAGATTCAGGATTAAAGTATTTTATTGTAAGTTGAAATAGAAAATGTTAAAATGTCTAGGCTTCTGGGAGGAAGTTCTTATACTCTTCTTTCTTGGTATTAGAAAGAAGCAATATGAATTTTTATGAATATTCAAAATATTCAAGCAGTTGTATCCTGTTCAGATTGATTTAGGTTTGTCTTAACCAATTTCTTTAAAATTTCAGGTTGTTGGCATTCACTCTGAGTATGCAGCTACTATTAGGTATTTGTATGGAACATATAAACACTTGGTTAGGTATAGACAGGTTTTAATGTTTTAAAGACTTCCTGCTATATTAATTAACATATTGTAATGGGAGTCTTTTAAAATATTAGAGTTTAATTGAAGTCACACAAATCTTGAAATTGTATCTGTGGATAGTAAATACTACCAAGAGTTTTTCATGTGGGAGTATCCTAAAACTCCTCCATGGGTGTAAATGTTTTACATTAATTTCATAATTGGACAGACCCTGCATTTAGTAAAAACATTTCATTTTGAAGATGTGTTCTTTTTGTCACATTGTTACTGCGTAACACTTCTCAGCATTCTGTAAGTTAAATTATTTTAAAATACAATGGTAAATTCATGTTTATTTTTTTACTTTGAAAATTGTAGTACTCAGGTGGTATTTAATGGGAAAGGATCCTTTGGGGTAAATCATAATGTATTCTAAGGAATGCATCTATAACATTGATACTTTAGCCTTAAAAAAAGGTCTATTCTTATTCCTTCTTCCTCTTCATTCCATGGTATGTTAGCAAAGTAGTTTACAGCCTTGTACAGCCTTACAAAGTTGTTTTACAATTTTTAATGGAAAGCCCTTAACAAAAAATTGTATCATATTACCAGTATCCATGAATTACTGAACCACAGTTTGTAAATAATTTGTCTAATACCAGAAGGCCAAAGAAAGTCTTAAAATTTTAGCTATTGACTCTATGGTGACTTCACAATAAGATTTCTGTGCAAAAGGTAAGGTGATATTTGATCAAATAAACATCTTCTTTTGGTGTCCATGAGAACTAGACTTCCATATTAGCTTCTCTTAAAAAGCTCATTCCATTTTATTAAAATGTTTGTAATTGAAATTTTGTGTTTAATGTTTACTTTCTGTCTTTTCTTTCTTTAGCATTTAGGTGACTGTTCAGCAGTTTGCTATATGGCCATTGTTGGCCTTTAAACTGCACTAGTAACAAGCATGGTATTTATCTTGTACTGAAAATAAAACACAGTTTTTATAATACTTTGCAGTTTGCCTTTTTTGTTGGATTTATAATTTGTTAACCATTGCGTATGGTTTGAACAATTCATATTCATTGGCAATATGCAGTATAACAGAAATTGGACCATTTATATTTTATCTTTAAACCAGCCTCCTAGATAGTGGTTATTTTCTTGTATTGGCATTTTGATGGTCTTTAAAGCACATGATGTCTGACTAAAATTAGGATTTAGAAACCTAAAAGATTTCTATGCTATTATATTTTGAAATCTAAGATTCAGAAAACATTTGTCTAATTTTAGGGGATTATTAACCTTACTAGACTTTAATCAAGTAAAAATGTTCCTAGATTGCAACAAAAATATTTCACCAGCTAGCTTGGGAGTAATAGAGTGCTTTTAAAACAGTAACATTGTGGTTTCAGTTCGGATTTGTGTGTCAGGTATTAAATCAGGCCCTAGATTTCTCACCTGTATGCTTCAGTGTATGTTGAAGGTAGCAATTCTAAACAGTTGAGAACCCTATAGGGTACAGTTAACCATTCTGGGATCCCTTTCCATGCACCACCCCATTAAAATTGTGGTACAGATTTTTGTTAGTTTCCCTATTACTCTTTGCTATATACTTAAATTTTAAAGAAGATTGTGTTCGTTGATCCTCGCTTTGTTGAGTTAATTGAGACTCTTGCAGAGAGTATTTGAAAGAAGATTATTAGGAGCATCTTTTAATCAGTGCTACACAGAACTCCATAGGAGTCAAGGCCTGATAGGGTGAAAGAGGGAGCTTTTAAATTAAAGATTTGTAGACAGTTTACCAAGTCTCCTAATTTTAATTTCTAAACAAAACAAGAAATTTTATTAGAAATGGTTTCCCCCTGTAAGATAGGTAAGAGTATTCTTTTACAAGTGAGCCAACAGGCTCTGAGGGGTTATGACTTAACAGAATGGGGAGTTGAAGTTAGGGTTTAGGACTCCAAATTCACACAGATTATGTGCTGAATGGCTGTCAAACTAAGCCTCCCACTGCCATAAGTGCTAACTTAAAAGGCTTGATACCTGAACTGTAAACATTTAGGAATATATTACTTTAAAATAATCATTTCCAGAAATATCAAGCATACCTACTCTGTTAAAGATAATATGCTAGATACTTAGTGGTATCATGTTATTTTTTCAAAAACATTTCATATAAATACTAGCACAGGTTCTACCTACATAGTTACTATAGTTACCTTATTAGGTATAAGATAGATGGGTATATATAACATTTGTGGAAATGTTAATTTAACTTTGTGGGAAATTTTGGTATTGACTCAGGAGTTGGGCCCTACCCCAGTACAGTATAGAAATGTGAGTATCACTGTACCACTTCAGTTTTTTCCCCTGAATCTGATAAGTCATTTTACATTATCCTTTCTTCAGTTTTCCCCAAGTAAGGAGGAAAGTTACCTTAAATGAAAACACAAAATGGTAAGATCTAACTAAGCATCTAACTATCCTAAGAACACGCTCACTTTAGTAGAAAGTGATTTGCAGGCTGGAGACAAGTTGGTCATTATTCACTGAATTTAGTGATGGCTGGCTTTTCACAGTTAACGTAAGCATTTGTTGAAGTCATTTTACACATCTCAAATTGTTTCAGACTGATGGCAACCATTCTACCTTTAAGCTTTTTTATGTTTCACATTACTTGTAAATACGCTATGTTTATCTGCACACTGGGAAACTGCCTTCCTAAAAACTTTACCCTATAAACTTCTGTAGTGGTCAGTTTTCCATAGTCCTTGCCTTTCTAAATGATTTGAGTGTATAGATGGGCACAAAAGGGAGGAGGGAGATGAATGGCACAACTCATCCCTGGGTGGTAATCTATCTGAAGTTACCTTTTTACCAATTGTTTCTCCTGAATATGTGAATATTTAGGATGGAACATGCCCTCTTAGCGAAGTTAATCGGTTCATCAGCATAAATAGGCAGATAAAACAAGGAGTCATAAATGAAGATTTAAATTTAAGTTTTTATTATCCTTAGGGTCCTTTGTTTTTTCTCTTCCCTAACCTTTGGATTGTGAGGTATTCCCAGGAGGCTTAGTCTTCCTTCATTCCTTGTTGCTCTTCCTGTCTCATGGCTTTAAGTATTAGTATGCTGTCAATTTCTAAACTTATATTTCCAGTTCAGACCTCCCCCCAACAAATGGAGATTTAACTGCCTACTGGACATCTCTACTTGAATTATCTAATAGGCACTTCAAACATAACATGCCAAGGCTGAATTTTACTCTCATCCACTCCTCACCACCTGCTCAGCCCAGTCTTCCCCAACAAATAACATCAATTACTGAGACCCAAAACTGAAATTGTTAACTCTTCTCACATTCCACATCCAGTACATTAGGAAATCTTGTCTACCATCAGAAAATACCTAGAATCTGACAACTGTTTCCACTGCCTTCATCCTTTACCTGTTCCTAACAGGTCTCCATGCTTTCTGCCTCTGCCTCCCTTTAGTATATTCTTAGCACAGCTATCAGAGTTCAATCACGTCTGTTCAGAATCCTGCTATGGCTCCCCATTTGTATTAGAGTAAAGCTTCAGTGCTTAAGAGGTTCCTCCATAATTTGGCCCCTATTATCTGACCAGACCTCCCAGTACCTGTCCCCATGGTCACTGCATTCCAGCCATTCTGGCCTTGTTTTTCACAGTCCAGGTAACGCTTCTCTTTCATAGCCTTTGGGGCCATTTCCCTTGCCTGGATGTCTGCATGATACTGTTATCTTAGTGAGATTTATCTTCACCTTTGAATTGAATAGAATCCGCTATCTCCCTTACTCTGCTTTCCTTTTTCCAATTATTTATTACCCAGTAATATGTTATTACCTAGCACAATATATGTTGGTTGTCAGACTATAAGGCCCATGAAAGCCTGGATCTTGTTTTAAGTCCCAAGTGCCTACATCAGCGTGTAGCACTTGAGTGAATGTCCTTAAAGTTTAGGTCTACCACATTATCCTGTTAGCTTAAGCTTATAGAACCACAGTTGTAAGAGCTAATTCAGCATCTTTCAAATTGTATATAACAAAAACTGCCATTTAAGCCATTTTAAGTGTTTATTTCAGTGACACCAAGTACATTTACAATGTGCGGCCATCACCACTATACATTTCTAGAACTTCTTCATCCTAAACAAATTCTGTACCCATTAAACAGTAACTCCTCATTTCTGCCCCACTTCCAGCCCCTCCCTGGCAACTGCTACTGTTCCTTCTATGAATTTGCCTATTCTAGGTACCCCATGTAAGAATTATTCAATATGTGGTCCTGTGTGATTGGCTTATTTCACTTAATGTGTCCAAGTGCATTTTGTAGCATGTGTCAGAATTTCATTCCTTTTATGACTGAATATTCCATTGTATACACATACCAAATTTTGTTTATCCGTTTGTCAATGGACATTTGGGCTGTGTCCACCTTTTGTCTATGGTGAATAATGCTGCTATGAACATTGGTGTACAAGTATCTGAGTCCCTTGCAATTCTTTTTCGTATATATCCAGGAGTAGAATTGCTGGATCATATTGTAATTCTATGTTTATATTTTCATGAGCAATGCATGAGAATTTCAATTTCTCCATATCTTGACCAACACTTGTTATTTTACGTTTTTCTGATAATAGCTATTTTATTGGGTGTGAAGTATGTGATTGTTAACTGTCATTTTTTTTTCTTTTTAACCTTAACCTCTAAGACTTTTAAAAAATTTTTTGGGGGGAGGAGGTAATTAGGTTTATTTATTTGTAAATTAAATAATAAATACCTTAATGGAGGTAGTAGGGGTTGAACCCAGGACCTTGTGCACGCTAGTAAGCATGCACTCTACCACTGAGCTATATATACCTTCCCCCCCAACTGATTTTTAAAGTGACATCCTTATTCAGTTTTTCCAAAGCATTTAACTTAGTTTTCAGTGAATCAACTCTGTACCCATATTTAATTGGTTTACATAATATTAAGTCATGAAATCACAGGAAAAAAATGATATAATTTAGGAACACACTGAGTCTTAGTAAACATGTAAACATAATTAGTAAGCAGAAGTTCTTGGACATGTATGTTGCATGAGTAAGTCAGTTTTATTCAGAGATTATTTAGGTGGGTTATGTGGAGGGCATTTTAATCAGTTCTTGTTATTGGATATTGAGGTTATTTCATTAGATTTTTGGCTTGTGTAAAGAATACTATTGAATATCCTTATAAGTAAACCTAATGCACGTCTCTTCCAAAAGTAGTTTCCTGCAGTGCTTGATTCAATGAGTATGAACATTGGAGGTTTTTGACACAAGTTGCCCTCTTATTTACCTTCACCACAGCTGTATGTGAAAATGCATATTTCTTCACAAAAAAACCAATAATGGATGCTTTAAAAATGATCAATTTTGGAAGTGAAAATTGGTATCTTATTTTTAAATATTTTGTGATTTTTTTTTTACTGTGGCTTAAATAGTTTTAAATGCTTTAACATTTAAAAATACTTTGTGTTTAAAAATATTTTTAAATGTTAGTGCGCTGCCACCTAGTGATAACTATGTAAGAAATAAAAGGGTAAGTCATAATTTAATAATTCCATTTTATAATTGAAGGAAACAGTTCAGTGTAGTATGCATTCAGACTTAAAGTAATATTACCAGTAAAAGCAAATCCAAGAACGGAAGAATCCAAGCCAGGCTCTGATACCCAAGAAAAATATGAAAGATTCTTTTCTAATCCATTGTCCCTGTTAAGTCACAGCAGTACAGTCAAACCAGATCAAAATAATAGTGACAATAATAATATCCTGATTATTGTGGTAAAATCAGCTAGTAAAGCCTTTGTTTCTATCCTTATACTGAAAATATTTCTAAATTTACTCAGTGCATGTAATAAGGATCACTTGAAGGGAAGGAATTTTGTATCTACATTGTATTTATACACAGATTATTTGGAGAATATATTTAAGTGTCCTAAAGTCATTCTCAGAATTCTTGT